CCAAAGCAAACCCAGTGAAAGAAACCTAGCAGAAAAGAGGCCATGAAGTGTAAGAGGACTATGAGGCATCAGATGAATCCTGGCCCGCTGCAGCCAGGCAGTGTGGCCTTGGACAAGTCTGTTCTCTACAGTATGCCCTGTGGGGGTCTGGGCATGATGGTCTCTGTGGGAGTTTCGTCTCCTGACATAGTCAATCCTGTGACATGACCCAGCCTCTGCCTAGTCAGTTCTTGTTTAACAGACAGTTCTTTCCCCTCTGGATCCTCAGACTGGAAGGCAAGTAGGAAGGAAGAAAACTGCCTCTCTTTGAGGGCCTACTATGAGTCAGGTGCAGTGCATGCCCAGGGCTATGGCATTTCTGATTCTACCTCCCAACCTTCCTATAAGATGGATCTCAGCTCCCTTTCATAGATGAGGAAATTGAGCCTCAGAAAGCCTAAAATTAAGTGCTTCTGTTGCTGCCTCTGCCCCTTCTCCAAAAGAGACCCAGTCCTTTCTCCAGGACTTGCCACTCAGAACCCCACCTGTGAACTTGCACCTTGACCAGGGAGGGACAGCCTTGCCTTTGTTGCCCTCCCCGCTTATCACTTTCCTAGTGTGTTGTCCACTTCCTGCCTGGCTCTGTTGTTAGCAGCTTGTAATATCCGTCACCTCTCCCCCACTCCACCCACCCCCAGTCAGTCCCAGTTCTCTGCCCAAGTGTGGGGATTTGTACTGCAGTGTCTGCAGCCCCCACCACAAACTGTGGGCAGGAAACCTCCATGCTCACTCCCAGCTCTCTGTGTGACCTTCAGCATCTTGGTGGGTGGGCCTCTTCGTCTATAAAAGAGCAGGGTTGGTCCATATGTTCTCAGAAGGCCCTTTTGAGGCTGATTCTAAAAGATAGTCCTGACTTATTCTTGCAGAGACAAGCCAAGAGACATTTATGTGTGATTTATGTATGTATGTATGTATGTTTAATCTTAAAATATATAAGGACATCTACTCTATCTTCTGATGCATGGCCAAGCACTCTTTGAGTAGGAGCATGCTGTTGGGAGTTTTTCTTCGTTTGTCTTGCACAAACTATTCCCATAAGGTAGGCATTTATTTTTAAGCAAACGTGCCAGATGGTATTCATACATTATCTCATTTAACCCTCTCAATAGCCATGTGGCTCAGGCATTTACAATAGCAATAGTGGTTCATGTTTGCTGAACATTTACAACATGCCAAGCACTGGGCTGGCTGCTTTACATGGGTCATCTCATCTCACTGTCACAACCACTCTCCAAAGAACTATTTCCCCTACTTTTCAAATGAGGAAATAGAGGTGCAGACAGGTTGAGGTCATAAAATCAATGAGCAGTGGGGGTGGGGATTTCAGACACCAGCAGGTTAACCCCAGAGCTGTTACTCTTAACTGTGAAGTTATCCTGCCTCCTACTTTTATTGTCCCCACTTGTCCCAGTAGGGAAACTGGGGCCACAGAATGGAAGTGCTTTTGCTCAGGGTGACCAACTGAGATGCAGCAGATGCCCTGAGCCCAACTTCTGAGTATGGGCCTTGCCCAGCTTGTGATATGGGTTGGCAGATCTGTTGAGTCCTAGGGGTGCCAACTGGAGGGACATGAAGCCTGGTCACCAGAGCCCATTCTTCTTAACCAAGTGCCTCCCACTACCCCCACCTGTGGGGTCTCCGATACCATCCTCAGCTACATTGTGCAGGACCTGATGGAGACAGACCTGTATAAGTTGCTCAAAAGCCAGCAGCTGAGCAACGACCACGTCTGCTACTTCCTCTACCAGATCCTGCGAGGCCTCAAGTATATCCACTCAGCCAACGTGCTCCACCGGGATTTAAAGCCCTCCAACCTGCTCATCAACACCACCTGCGACCTTAAGGTCAGAGGATTGGGTGCTCACCACACCCCCCCCCAGGGGTCTTGGGCTTCCATATGACTAATAGTCCCCTAGAGTAGGAAAGCATTGCGGGCAAAGGTAACAGCATGGGCAGAGGCATGGTGACATGATTGCTTGGGCCGTGGAGAACTTGAGCACCACGCTTAACAGTCTGGGTTGGATTCCAGATCTGTGATTTTGGCCTGGCCCGGATCGCTGATCCTGAGCATGACCACACTGGCTTCCTGACAGAATACGTGGCCACACGCTGGTACCGGGCCCCAGAGATCATGCTTAACTCCAAGGTAGGGGGCCACCCACCCCCAAAGGGGAGGGGCCAAGTCCCAGAAAGCCCTGGAGCCACCAGGACAGTGACCCCCATAAAGCAGGAAGTTTACCCCCTGGGCCATGTCACATTACTCTGGTGCTTAGGAGCTAAACGTTAGCTCCTCTCCCGGCCTCTGCCCTCTGCCTCCCTGAAGCATTGAATTAAGGTTGGGAAGGTGGCTTAGCCCAGACAACAGGGACCTGTTGAGGCTGGCCCAGGAGCCCACCACTTTCTCCTCCTCCCAAGGGCTACACCAAGTCCATCGACATCTGGTCTGTGGGCTGCATTCTGGCTGAGATGCTCTCCAATCGGCCCATCTTCCCTGGCAAGCACTACCTGGACCAGCTCAACCACATTCTGGGTGAGGGGGGCCTGGCCAGCTGAGTGGAAGGGAGATTAGCATATTAGAGGTGAGATTTCTTTAGGGTCAGGGCTGGTGAGTATGTGAGAGTTGGATCAGGGGTACCACCACATTTGGAGCCTCTACAGCATCTTACAGTGTTTCAATGAGATATAGATACTATCCCATTTGATAAATGGGAAAAGCAAGGTTACATTCCACAATTAGGAAGTACTGGAGCTGAGATTTGAACCTGGGGCTGCCCAAATCCAGACCCCTTGCTTCACCGCCATAGTATTGGCTGGGAGATAACTGTCAGGAATGGGTTGGTGGGAGCTCTTGTTCTTGGCTCCTTCTGTTCATAGAAGGGAGAGAAGATCTCTCACCAAGTCCCCTGCCCTACCCACAGGTATCCTGGGCTCCCCATCCCAGGAGGACCTGAATTGTATCATCAACATGAAGGCCCGAAACTACCTACAGTCTCTGCCTTCCAAGACCAAGGTGGCCTGGGCTAAGCTATTTCCCAAGTCAGACTCCAAAGGTGAGAGAGACAAAGTGGCTGATATGGGATAAAAACTGGGTGCATAAGTCCAGCAGCTTCCTGAGTAGACAGGCCCCCTGCACAGAGAAGTGAAACAGTAGTTCTGGGAACTTCCCTAGCCTTACCTTTGACCCCTGATTCCTGCCCTTCACTAGCCCTTGACCTGCTGGATCGGATGTTGACCTTTAACCCCAATAAACGGATCACAGTAGAAGAAGCCCTGGCTCACCCCTACCTGGAGCAGTACTACGACCCAACAGATGAGGTGGGCCAGCTATCAGCAGCAGGTCTGGTGGGTAAGTGGGTGGATAGGCATCCCTCAGTATCTGGCCTGAGCCTCACTTCTATGCCACTCCAGCCAGTGGCCGAGGAACCTTTCACCTTTGACATGGAGCTGGATGATCTACCCAAGGAGCGGCTGAAGGAGCTCATATTCCAGGAAACCGCCCGCTTCCAGCCTGGGGTGCTGGAGGCCACCTAACCTGAACAGATGCCTCTGCTCTCTGGGGCTGGGTGAGTGCTCCCCACTGCCCGTGCACCCTGAGACATGGTTACCCAGCACACCATACAGTCAAAAGCTTGCTCATGCCCATGATCCATGTATATGGTAGCAACAGAAGGGCCAGAGCCTGCCCAGGCTGTGGCCATCTGAGGACCGGAGCCAGGTTTTGCCTTGCCCAGTATGGGCACAGAGGCAGGTGGGGCAGTAATTGCTTTGGGAAGAGTTAGCAGCACTCAGCCTGACCCAGATGCCACACCTAGGCAAGCAGTTCACACACGTTTGGGGGACTCTTGGGCCTGTCCCAACCCACACGGCTGTTCCCTTCTCCAGTCTTGCTGTCTTTCTGCCAGCTGTAGTCTAATGGAAGGAAGGCAGACACACCTGGGTTCAAACCCCAGCTCAGACACTTAGTAAGAGCAGTGTGATATTGTGTAAGACACCTCACCTCTGCTGCTCAGCTTCCTGGAAACAGTCCTGATAATGAGAGCACACACAGCACTAAGCTTGTTCTAAGAGGTTTATGTGTATGAACTCATTTAATCCTTATAGCAGTATCATGAGTTAGGTACTAATGTTATCCCCGTTAAAGATGAGGAAACTGAGACACATCTCACTCAACTGTAAGGATAAAATGAGAGTTGAGGTCAGGGCTCTGGCAGGTGCTCTCATGGGTACTAATGGTTCCTTTCCTGCTTGCCTTTTTGTTTAGGCCCTGCTTCCTGCCTGCCCCTCCCCTGCTGGACTGTTAGAAAATGGACACTGCCCAGCCCGGACCTGGCAGCCCAGTTCGGGGCACAGGGCGGGCCTGGCCACCTTCCCTTGCTTTGCTCGGGCCTCCTGCTTTAGGCAGGCCAAGGCTCCCTCCATCCCACCCCTCCCAGACCAGTGGGGCTCGTGGCCCCAGAGCACATTCCCCTCAGCTGCTCTGCCTTCCTCTGCCCAGCTATCCCAGTCTCTGGTAGTTCTGGAATCAAAGGGCTCTGGCTGCCCTTTGACCTACTGAGGAGTGAGAGGAGATGGAAGACACTGAGTAGGGACTCAGGGCCAGCCTTGCCCCACTCACCTCATTAACACCCCACCCATTTTCCCTCAAGGAACATTCCTAGGGCTCAAGGGCTAGTATCCTTGAGGAGCAGGGCCCTGTCTAACCCCCTCCCCTAAGCTGCCACACCTAACTCCTGCTGCTTCTGTGTGTGGGTGAACAGAAGTGGAGGTGGGGGCACATGGAGAGCCCAGTGCCCCTGCCCGCTCCTGAGCCTGTATCTAATATATAAATATAGAGATGTGTATATGATGGCCCTGGCTCTGTCTGTGTTTGATGATGCTGTGTCCCTCACCATTGCTGCTTTGAAGACTGACACTCCAGCCCAGCTGCTCCCCAGTTGTGGCTTTACCTGGCCCTGGTGACCTTTGGCTCCCTAGCTGGCCAGGGTTGAAGATGGGAGTGTAAGAAGCTCCAGTCTCCTGGACAGAGTGGAATCAATTTTCTCTTTAGTCACTGTCCTCTCCTCTCTCGAATGGGGTGATTCAGGGGTGACTCGGGCACTCTACACACCCCTGAATTTTCTGGAAACAGCAAGGGGTGGTGTGTTGTGCCCCCTGGCCACATGCATGAGTGGTTAGGAGGAAGGTTATAGCAGACCTATGGGATGAACCTGACTCCCCCCGTGTGGCCAAGGAAAAGAGGGGCGCTGGGGTCTGTGAAGGATCTGGAGGTGTGAGGGCCAGAGCTGCCTAGCCTCTCCTGCATCCCCAGCTGAGCCCTGCAGCCTGGCCCTGGGCCAAGAGCAGGCTGAGCAGGTCCCAGGGGCGTGGTGGTGACCAGTGGTGGAACCAGCCTACATCAGGCCAGGCAGTCGGGCAAGGCAGTGCAATTCGTCAGGGACAGCGGAGCTCACAGCAGCCGGAGCCCGGAGCCCGGAGAGGCAGTGCGGCATGAGCTCTGTGTTGTACTACGCCCTGCCCGCCCTGGGCAGCTATGCCATGCTCTCCATCTTCTTCCTGCGCCGGCCTCGCCTGCTGCACACACCCTACGTTCCGGCCTTCAGGACCCGCCTGGGGGCCCACCGGGGAGGTGAGCTGAGTCAGGGGAGGGGGGGTGTTGGCTACTGAGGGTGGAATAGGATAGCAACGTGTGCCAAGGTGGACGTCAAAGAGTGGTAGGGCTAAGGGGCCAAATGTTAGAAAGAGGCAGAGACCGAGGTAGGAGGAGAGCAGCTGGCAGGGCGTGATGTGGAATGAGGAAGAAGAGGCTGCTTAACCTGGATGATGGGGTGATGAGGCAGGGGCGAGGGGAGAAGTGGGAAGGCCAGACCCCGGGACCCACTGCACTGCCCCACACAGGATCTGGAGAGAAGCTGGAGAACACCATGGAGGCCATGGAGAAGTGAGTGCACCTGTCCATCTGAGCTGCTGCGTAAGGTCATGCCAGCTCTGCGTGGCATGATGCCAAGGGGTGCCATGCACTTCCCGGTGCAGGTGGCTGGAACCCCCTGGAGGCATTACACAGCCTGCATATCCCACTTTAAACTCTCCCCCATGCTCCCCTAAACCTCCCTCCCACCCTGCAGCCTGGCTCATGTCCCTGCGCTGCACACTCTACTGACCTTTGCCCCCCACAGCTCTATGTCCCAGCGCGCGGACCTCCTGGAGCTGGACTGTCAGCTGACTCGGGATGGTGTGGTGGTGGTGTCTCATGACGAGAACCTGTCTCGCCAGTCAGGCGTGAACAGGGATGTGAGCAGCCTGGAATTTGAGGTGGGCCTTGCTCCAGCCCCTCCACCATACCCAGAAAGCCTCCCTCTGAGCTTCCTGATGACATGCTCCCTGCTCTCCCCAGGAGCTGCCTCTCTACAAGGAAGAGCTGGAGATTTACTTCTCACCAGGTAAGAGCATGGGCTGTGAGCCCTGGGCTGGGCCGGCCTGAGTGGGTCATGGCCTCAACTTCTGCCCTCTCTTCTCCTCTGAGACTTGCCCCTCTTCCCCTGAGTTCTTACCTTCACCCCTCCAATCCTCTGATCTCTTCCCACAACCCCCCAGGCCAGTTTGCGCATGGGTCAGACAGGCACATGATACGTTTGGAGGATATGTTCCAGAGGTTCCCTCGGACGCCCATGAGTGTGGAGGTCAAAGAGGGAAACGACAAGCTCATTCACAAGGTGGTGCAGCAGGCAGGGTGGGGGGCCTGTGGCCTGGAGAGAGGCCTAACTCCCCTTCATCTCCTCTCCTCCTTCCAGATAGCCAGCCTGGTGAGGCACTTTGACAGAAATGAAATAACCATCTGGGCCTCAGAGAAGAGCTCGGTCATGAGGAAGTGCAAAGCTGCCGTGAGTCCCTTAGCCCTCGCCACTCCAGCAGCCCCTCCTCCAGGAGCTGGAACCCAGCCTGACCTGAGGGGCCTAGGCTAGAGGGATCTGAGGGGTTCTGGAGGATTTGGAGAGGTGAGGTGGTGGAGGAAGTATGTGAGTAGTCATGCTGGTGCGAACAGGGAGCGTGCGTTTAGGCCTTGCGTGCTGGGCCAAGATGTGACTTTTGTCCTGCAGGTAGTAGGGTTTCCTGAATGTTTGCCCTGTATCCCAAGCCTCTCTACTTCCCCAGAGCAGACTGATCCCCTCTCGCCTCCACTTGCCCCCCAGAACCCTGAGATGCCGATATCCTTCACAGTAAGCCGATCAGTCTGGTTGTTACTACTGTATTACCTGGGGCTGCTGCCCTTCATCCCTATCCCCGAGAGGTTCTTCTTGTGCTTCCTGCCCACCATCATCAACAGGTACGCACAGGGTCCCCATCTCCCTTCTTCATCCCCCAGGCTTCCAGCTGCTCCTGTCCTTGGAAAAACACCCCCATCTCCAGCTCCATTTTGTAGGATCCCCAGCTACCCTCAGGATAACCCCATGGTGCTTTGAAAACAGTGGTTTTTACCCAGCATTCATGAATACTAAGGGTCCATGAACCACCTGAAATTCAATGCAAATGTGTATTGATGCTTTAGAACAAAGGGTTCATTTACTTATCTATTCATCCAACAAATATTTATTGAATTCCTACTCTGTTCCAGGTGCAGTTACACTAGTAAAGAAAACCAATGTGGGTGGAATAAGGCCGCCTCTCAGCTTATTGTTTGGCTAGGGAGACAGATGTTAATTAGTTACAGCATCACATTGATTCTCAAAAGGAAATGCAAGTGTTTTCCTGTTGGGAGACAAGGATTAACAAAGTAACATCTGGGTAAAGTATCAGGAATTTGGATACTTCACCAGCTCTCAGGCCAGCCCCTCCCTTTGCTTTCAGAGAAGTCTGTGGTGGCCCTGTGCTTTCTGCTCCTCTCTATTGTCATGAAGGAAGCTCCTAGCCAGCCCCCACAATCCTTTGCTACAAAGACATCATTACTGCAGAACTCTGTATACATAACCTTTGAAGCAGGATTTACAGTGTTTTCACACCCTTTAGTTCAGTTGAGCTTTACTTTGCAGCACCCCCAGGAGGGACAGGAATCCTGACCAGTACCCATGGAGAACCTGGGGCTCAGAGAGCTTCTATAACTTGCTCGAGGTCATCCAGCTAGAATTACAGAGCCTGGTTTGCCCTGGGTCTGACTCCAAAGCCTGCCCTGGGACATTGTGAAGGGCCTCTGAAGTCACCACTGGAGCGGGACAGTTAGAGGCAGGTAGCCGACCCATGAAATGCTGTCTGGTCTCAGGAAGCTGGTCAGGCCCAACCAGGAGGACCTCCAGATTTTGTGTCCAGCTTGGGAATCAAGCTGGACTTCGGTCCTGGCCCCACCATAGACTTGCTATATGACCTCGGTCAAGTTAATATAACTCCAAAATTCAGTTTCCTTTTCTATAAAACAGCCAAGGATAGGCACACCCTCAAAGCCTGGAGTCAAGGACATAGTAGGATCTCACTGAACAATGGATGAACTGTTCATCTGGACAACTGCAAAGATTCTTTTAGAGAGGCCATATTTCACTGGTCAGGGATCACTACCACCCACACTCCCCACCTCCCACCTCTGTGACACAGACCCATGGACTGACCACCATACTACCTCTCCGCAGAACCTACTTCCCATTCTCCCGCCCTGTGCTGAACCAGCTAGCAGCTGCAGTTTCTAAATGGTGAGGTGGGCGAGAAGGCTGGGTGGAGACCTACCTCTGCCCTTCTCCTTAATCTCTCTCATCGTGGCCTTTGCCATCTCCCTCCCACCAGGCTCATCATGAGGAAAAGCCTGATCCAACACCTGGAGCAGCGAGGCGTGCAGGTGAGGCCAGACCAGCACCTCTTAGTTCACAGCATGGGCCCTGCACAGCATTCCAGTCAACAGCTCTGCTGCTGACCAGCCGGGCGCCTTGCACGGGTCACCTTCTGAGTCTTGGTTTCTTCACCTGTAAATGGGGATAATGATATATCTAGCTCTCCTGGGTATGTAACTGGTACTTAGCAAGGGTCTGATAAATGCTAGCCATTGTAGTGATGTATTAGACTGTCCTGATCCCTGATGAGGGGGGCTGGGCAAAGATCAGAGAAGGGAAAAAACAGCCCAGCCCACCTCCTCCCGCTCCAACCATCAGCTTTGACCAGGCCGTTTAGTTAGCAAACCTTTGTTGAGAATATATTCCAGGAACTGTGGTACTGAGGACTGGGTAAGGATTTACCACAGAGAACGAACCTTTGTTGAGAATATATTCCAGGAACTGTGGTACTGAGGACTGGGTAAGGATTTACCACAGAGAACGAACCTTTGTTGAGAATATATTCCAGGAACTGTGGTACTGAGGACTGGGTAAGGATTTACCACAGAGAACGAAGCAGGCCATCACAGGGGCAACTCACTCGTGGACCGAAAGGAAACAGTGTGGTGGTCTGTGGGGTCAGAGAAGCCTTCTGGAACAAGTGAAGAGCTGGCTCAAGGGGAGGGGCAAGGGAAAGCAACTCAGGCAAGAGGCTTAGCATGTGAGAAGGGCCAGAGGAGCAAGAGGGCTTGGCTGTCTGAGAAGCAGAGGGGCTCCACCAGGCTGCGGTCTGGAGGAAGCGGCACGGGGAGCTGCGGGGAGCTGCAGAAGGCAGCAGAGGCTGAGGCAGGCAACCTAAGGACCTCAGGAAGGAGCCTGGACTGCAGCCCAAAGGGAGGGGAAGCTTTTGAGGGAAGCGACCTGATCCAGTGGAGATTTGTTGAGTGAGGGTCATCCTGGCCACCAAGTGGAGAGGTGACTGCGGGGGCCATTGTGGAAGAAGAGTTGCATGAGGAGGCTGATGCCGCCACTGACAGGATTTGGGCTCAAGTGGTAACAGTGGGGATGGGTGGAAGAGTTTACTCACAGACAAGCCATGGGTTTGGATTTGGGGGTAAGTAAGGATGACCTGGCTCCTTCAGATCAGCCCTCCCACGCCTTGGGGCTTCACCACAGCTCTAGGAGGCTGGACCATAACTCTCAGTTGTCACATTAGGAAACCGAAAGGTCCAGTGACCTGCCCAGGACACAGATCTCATCCCGCCTCTGTCAGTGCCCACAGGAGAGGACTCGGGAGTCGGGGAAGATGAAGAGCAGCAGCAGATGTGGGCATGCTGTGAGGCACTGGCATGCTGGCAAACAGTCCACACCTGGCTCTCCGGGGGGGAAAGGTGCCCTGATTTGAGCAATTCCCTGGTGTATATACTTGGCCAATTTCAGGCCACCAATGTGAAGTCACTGAACACATAATTGGGAGGAGGTGTGAAGTAGCACCTCATTACAGAGTACTTTCCTCGTACACATTTGACAGACTTAAGTAACCTCCAGAGCATAGGTGATAGTAAAATTATTAGGAAGTGATGAGTGTGTAGTATTTATTAGTATTTTGTATGTATCACCTTTTCAAAACCAATTTGAAGAATTTCTGAAAATTTAACAATCAGCTCCCCAGCATACTGCTGCTGGGAGGTCTCCACAGAGGAGAGCTCTAACCATCTGGATGCCAGGGGGGAGTTCCAGGTAAAGTTATTCGGAAACTACCAGCCCGTTTTCTCCCCTCTCAGGTGGTATTTTGGTGCCTTAACGAAGAGTCAGATTTTGAATTGGCCTACAGTCTGGGGGCCACTGGCGTCATGACCGATTATCCTACAGCCCTGAGGCGGTACCTGGACAACCGTAGAGCAGCTGCCCAGGTCTCCTGAGCCAGCAGGTCTCCTTTCCCTCTCCAGTATGTCCCAATAAATATTTTCTTTTCAGTCAGGCCTCTTTGCATTCTTTTTCACTGGGGAGGGGGTGTCTGAGATCCTAGGAAACTGAAGATGACAGAAGAGGCCACCTAAGGCCAGTCTGGGGCCCTAATTAGCCTGACCCACTGGTTCAGCCACATTCCAGACCCAGAGTAATGCCACGCCCTGTGCCAGGCTGGCCTCCACTTTCCTCAGGAATGTCCCTTCAGAGCCACAGATAATGGTTCCATTCTTCTGAGGCCATTAAAAGCACCAGGCACACAGCGAGGGGTTTGACTTGCCCCTGTGGGCCTCGACTTGCCCATGTGGGCATGGCTGGGACAGCCGAGTTCTCAGCACCATGCTGCCTGAACCATTCCAACCTTCCACTCCCGTGTTTCCTATTCCAAAAGCTCTCCAAATTCCTCAGACCTCTCCAGCCCTAGTAACACAATGCAGCATGGATTTCACAAACGTGTATCGACTACACTAGGCCAGACTGGGTACTGGGGCCATGGCAGGGGACAATTCAAGTTTAGAATGGAAGACGTGTTGAAATACATTCAGAGGTGAGAAAGGGAAAAGTGGAAGCACACAGCAGACACCAACTCAGCCTGGAGGAACAGGGGCATCAGAGGAGCCTGCTGCCTGGAGGAGGTGGCTTGTTCCAAGGCTCTGGCTCCCAGGGGTCTAACACCACTGGACACCTTTAGCTCTTCCATTCCAAGAGTCTAGAATGGTGCTTTGGCCAAGACCGTGGACTCGGACCAAACTGAGAATCCCAACTTTGCCTCTTATCAGCTGGATAACCTCGGGAGAGGTGCTAGACTTCTTTGGACCTCAGTTCACCAGCTAAATGAGAACAATAGCAGAAGCTGCCTCAGGATTGCTGCGGGGATTATGAGTGGGGCACGGGCTGTGGGGAACACAGATAATTATGACTAGTATGTCTCCTGGGGGCGTGCATCCAGACGCCGCCCCCTCCTAACCCCACGCCAAGTCAGGTACCTCAGATACGGGCCCCTTCAAGAATCGCAGGAGGCCAGAGGGGCGACCAGATTGGGGCCGCACCGGCCCGCTGGCTGGATTGCGGGCAGCAGCCGCATTTCCGGGCGGGCCGAGCCCGGAGCAGGGGGAAGGGTAGCCCAGGCCTGCGCTGGCCGCTGTGTGACGCGCCCCCTTATTTGCATGCTGTACGCCGATTGGCCACGGCGACCGCCGGGACCAGGGGCCAGCCCCCTCCCCCTCCCGCCGCAGCGGCGGCAGCAGCTGGTCTCGGTGTAAACAAGTCGGGCGACTGCGAACCCGGGCCGGGGGAGGGGGGGAAGGCGCCCACCAGGGCCCCCCACTCCCAGGCCAACCACCCCGGCGGACCGGGCTCCCGCACGCCCAGGCGAGGTGAGGTCCGCATCATCAGGGCTGCGCGTCGCCCCGCGCCCCCACCCCCGCCCCGCCAGCGAGGACTGTCCCCTTCCCCGGCGCCCGCCCCCTTCCCCCGCGCCCCAGGTGAGCCCCGAGGTCTCAGGTAAGGCTCCGCGATGCAGGTAAGAGCCCCTCGGTATAGACAAGGCCTCAGCGTCCCCGGGTAAGAGCTCCTCCCTCCTCGGTGACCCTCCAACTTCAGTGAGGCCTCCAGCTTTCTCCAGGGGAAGGACCTTAACCCTAGGTGAACTCCCTGTACCTTAAGTACAATCGCCTCCTAGCCCCGCCCTCCGCCGTTCAGATGAGGTCCTAAAGACCATCCAATTCCTAACCCCTGCATGCTCCCCGAAACAGAGAACTGACAGCTCATCCACTCTAAAGCCCCTTCCTCCAGTTTCAATTGCCAGGTCAGCAGGATTGAGGCTGAAAACAGGTGGGTGACTCATCTTGGGCTCCTCCTAGCCTCAGTTTCCCCGCTGATGCAACTTGAGGCCTCCTCAGTGAGTCAAAACTAAGCTGGCTCTGGCCCCTGGAGAGACTGCTGGCTCTGGGGAGAGGAGACAGCAGCCAAGTGTGACAGAGAGAGAGTCCCTGTGGCCCTGGGCGTGCCTGCTTGCGTGTGTCCAGGGTCCTGACAATCCACCCACTCACTCCCTCCCAAACAGGCACTGGGCTCCCTCTGCTCCCCGTGGGCCGCTCCCCGCGTGGGGCCACTGCCCCCGGCCCCCGCCATGGTGCGGATTTCAAAACCCAAGACGTTTCAGGCCTACTTGGATGATTGTCATCGGAGGTATAGCTGTGCCCACTGCCGTGCTCACCTGGCCAACCACGACGACCTCATCTCCAAGGTAACCAGGTCACAGTTGGAGCTGGAATGGGAGGCTAGAGGGGCTCCCCACCAATAACCCTGACCCCCTCTTCTCTCCCTTCCATCCTTTAGTCCTTCCAGGGCAGTCAGGGGCGTGCCTACCTCTTCAATTCTGTGTGAGTATTTAGCCTCCCTTCTTTCTTTTCCTGACCTCTATTGTGACCTGTGATCCATGGCATCATGCTGAGGCTCTCAAAGTTCCCTGGTTCAGGCAAGAAGCTAAGGACAGACACAGTCGGATATAAGCTAGAGGTGGGCTTTGTGATGGTGGGACCCTCCCTGGGACTGCCCCATGTCCCCACAGGGTGAACGTGGGCTGCGGGCCAGCCGAGGAGCGGGTGCTGCTGACAGGCCTTCATGCTGTCGCTGACATCCACTGCGAGAACTGCAAGACCACTTTGGGCTGGAAATATGTGAGTCAGTGACCTCTGACCCCAGGCTAACCTTTGACATGACCTCACACCACAAGCAGTCATCTGATCATCTTTCAGAGTGTATAGACCCAGCTCACACAAGTCAAACAGTTTTCTCATCCCGACTGTTTTCTTTCACATCCTGCAAAGACTTAGAATTTTTCTCTTCATTCATCCCTCTCCTCACAGGCACAAGCATCCCCATTTTAGATGATGACATAATTAGAATTGCCATTTATTGCATACTTATTGTTTTGCACTGTTTTGTGCTTGACCATTACACATATGGCCAAATAATGGTATAAATAATTATACCGTTATTTCATTCAATCATTACAACAGTCCTGTTGGTAGAGTCTACTTCATCTTCACTTTACAGAAGAAAGGAAGGCCCAGAGATGTTAGGTAACAGAATAGGGACCAGAATCCTACTTTGTTTTGTTTTTAACTCTAAACCCTTGATCCCAGCTTCTGTTACCATTCAGAGTTTCAGAGAAATTGCCCAAGACCCCACAGCAACACAGAGCTTGGGTCCATGTGCCTCCTTTTCCACTGCCCTCGTTGCCACTGCTGCTGTCCAGGGTTTGATTTCACTACTCTGAGTTTCATTTCCTTATCTGGCAGTGAAGGATAAAGCCACCACTTGGCACCCAAGATTGTTATGGAGATCAGATTAGATGCAGCAAAAGAAGATGCTCTTGGGAAACTGCAGTTGCTTGGAGTTGTGGTGCCTTGATGATGTGGATGTCCCAGGCAAAGACAGGCAGATAGCCCTGTCCTGAGTTCACCTCTGGCCCTGCCACAGATTTGCTTTGTGTCCCTGGGCGGGTGGCTTAGCCTCTCTAGACCTTTCTAAAATAAACAGTTGGCCAGTTTAGAGGTCAAAAACTCAAGTGCCTGCAGGGCCAAGCAGATACTGTGGATCTGCAAAAGAGGCAACATAGATTGGGGGCCCAGGGGAAGGGCAGCCTGTGCCATACTAGAGTGAGCATGGCCTGCCTATATACTAGTATTTCAAAGTTATTTTTACTAAACTCTCTGCTGGCCAAACAAAACACACGTGCAGGCCAAATTTGGCACTCAGGCTACCAATTTGTAATCCCTGGATTTTATAGACATTGCCATATCCTTTGTTGGAGCCAACATTAATACTTAAAAAGTACTTGCCCTGGCCGGTTTGGCTCAGCGGTTAGAGCGTCGGCCTGCAGTCCAGAGAGACCCAGATTCGGTTCCTGCTAAGGGCACGTATCTCGGTTGCAGTTTGTCCCGGCCCTGCTTGGGTTGTGTGGGTGGCAACCACTCGATGTGTACCTTTCACATCGATGTTTCTCTCTCTCACTCCTTCCTACTCTATCTGAACAAAATATGAAAAAATGTCCTTGGGTGACGATAAAAAAAAAAAAAAAAAAATCACAGATTCTGGCTTGAAATGCCAAAATCTCAACAAACAAAAAATAAAATTCAGAGAAGTACATATTTAAAAAAAAAAAAAAGTACCAATGATTCAGAGAGTTCTGTCTATCCCATTAGTGAGAAACTCAGCCCTGCCACTTACCAGCTAGCTCTGTGTCTGTGGGCAGATGGCTTGGCTGCTTTGGGTGCGTTTTCTCATATATGAAATAGGGCCAATCGTATCCATGCCCAACCTCTATCCCTGTTGGTAAGGTAAGGCCCTCGCTCCAGGGATGACGGCCTCTCCCCTTTTTTCAGGAACAGGCCTTCGAGAGCAGTCAGAAGTACAAAGAGGGGAAGTACATCATTGAACTCAACCACATGATCAAAGACAACGGCTGGGACTGACCCCTGCTCTTGCCGCATGTGGCTCCAGCCCGGCCTGGCCGCCAGGGGGCGCTACTGGCTTCCCTTCGCTGCCGGGAGGGAGCTCTGGACCATCAGAGCCCCTGCAGAGGAAGGATTCAGCTCCTGTACATATATTTTATTGCATGCACTGTGACCTTGGGGGGAGATCAGAAGGTGGACGACACCCCCACACACACACCTCCCTGTGATCTGGCTGGCTTGGATCTCATTTTTTTAACCTCTTCCTGCCCCACCTACCCTTATAGATATGGCCTGCGTGCTGTTCTCTTCGCACAGTGTATCATCTGCCCTGTGAACTCCTCCCACTGGGCCCCTCTTACCGCACGCGTGTCTGCTCCCCTTGTTCTGTAGCATTTGTATATAATAAAACAATGGAGTGTAGACAGCCCCATGCTTATGTGGAATCGGGAATCGGGAAGGGGGAACTCAAGTGCAGATTCCTGCCTCTATTGGTCTGTTCCTTCCTGAGGCCCTTGGGGCAGTGGGTGCAGGCACTGCCACCAAAGGTGGGAGTCTGCGCTCCTGGGGCCTGGCTTCAGCCATCCTCTCTAGGACCCAGGACAGGTCTCACTGCCCGTGATTCTGGAGCCCACTGGCTCCCTAGACCTTGACTTCCGCTGATCTGCGTCTTACCAACCTTAGTGTTTTGCCACAGCTGGATCTTCTCCGTACCCAAGTCGGCACTGGGCCTGCTGGGAAGTGTAGTTCCCAGGGTTCTTCAGCACCAGACCTTCAGTCAGGCGCCAGACTGTAGAGCTATGGGGACCTCTAAACTTTTGAGACTTGGATGAGGGTGGAGAATGGAAACCAGGAAGAATTCCAGGGTTTGGCCTTCGGCTGGGGACTCCAGTACACTGCCTAAAAATATGCTCAGGCTGGTCCCTCTAGCCCTGCTCTTTCCCTCCATTCATTCTTCCTCCCTCCAGGCCCCTTCCTCCAAATGAATGGGGGGGGGGGGGAGTGGCGAGCTAGGGGTCACCTGCCAGGAAAGTCTGTGGCGCAAGGTCTGCCCCAGGACTCCAGGCTCCATCCCAGGGTCCAGGCCCCGCCCCCTCAGTAGCTTATTCCTAGCTGGGGCTCCCACCGTGGGAACGGGGACCAGCTGGCCGGAAGCGCCAAACTGCATCCCTGTCCAAGCCCCGGGGATCAATCAGGCCGAGGAGTTAATTATGTAATGAGGGGGCAGGGGGTCGAGGCTAATGAAGACTGGGGGGGAGGGGAGAAGGGGAGGGTACCCAGGTATCCGGCCCCCTCTTGTACCCCTTCCAGGCCCCAGGGGTCTCCACCCCAGCCCAACTCCAGGGCCCCAAAGAGGGAGGGGCTGTGATCCTGGGTCTAGAAGGGGCTGAGCTGTGAGCTATAAAGGGGGCATCTCTCAGCACCGGGGGACTCTAGGCAGCAGGACCTGAGGCCAGACAAGACTACTCCATGTATCATCCAAGAGAGTTGTACCCCTCCCTGGGGACCGGCTACCGCCTTGGGCCCCCCCAGCCAGTGAGTGATTCCAGCTTCCCGCCTGCCCTGGCAGAGGGCTACCGCTACCCTGGTGAGCTTTGGGATGAGCTCCTATGAAGGGATTGGGGGTTGCTGTGACCCTGGGCTGGCTCCTCATTCTCCCCCCATCTCCAGATTTGGACACTACCAAACTGGATTGCTTCCTCTCCGGGATTGAGGCTGCTCCCCGCACCCTGGCTGCTCCCCCACCTCTGCCCCCTCTGCCCCCAGCCCTGGGCACTGAGCCGTCTCCTCCAGCCCCAGAGGCCCTTCATTCACTCCCTGGAGTCAGCCTGAGCCTGGAGAACCAGGAGCTGTGGAAAGAGTTCAATTCTGTGGGAACAGAGATGATCATCACCAAAGCTGGGAGGTGAGGGGCTGGGCCAGGGTCAGAGGACCCAGTGTGTTCCTGGTGGGGGTCTCTTGGGAAAAGCAGAGTTCCTGGTGATGGGACAAGGTTTGAGGGTTTCTAGGGGACCTAGAGCTCTGCCTAAGTTCAGAATGTGATTGTGGCCTGGGTCAGGGGTTACTCATATTGTGGCAAGAGTCTGTTAAGTCTGTGGCTGGTTTGGAGACCAACCTATGGCAAGGGTCATAGGTCAGTCTGGGCCATGGCCAGAACATCTGGCTGGATTATAGCTTAGTGTGTGGCCTAGATCAAGGGGTCAGTCTGTGGCTGGAATCGGGGTTCAGATTATAACTAGGGTCAAGGGCCAGCCAGTGACCAGCATCAGGGAAATCTGGCTAGGATCAGGGTTAGTATTAGGGTTTGTCAGTATGTGACTAGGTCCAGGGTCACCCTAGGGATAGGGATATGGTCAGTGTGTGGCCTTGTGGGGGTCTTTATCTAGTCCAGGAGCTCAGACCCTAGCGTGGTATCTCCTGCCCCATTGAAAGCAGGGCATTTTATTTTCTGAAGCAAATCTGTCCAGTAGCTGTAGATTCTGGTGCAGATCAGGCTGGGGAGCAAGGAGGCCCCTGGCAAGGTTTCCAAAAGAAAAGTATGCCACCCCTACTACTGCAAATGGAGTTTGAAGGGCCAGGAGTCAGGAGTGCAAGTTCTGCTCCAACCTGCTGTGACCCTGGTCAGGTCACCTAACCTGTCTCTCATGTTTCCTATTAAATGGGATGAAACAAGCTTCTAGACCCTACCCTCAGTTCTAACTCCAGCTTGAATGTTCTCTGACAAAACTCTGTGAGCTGGTGACTTGGCCCCCTTGCCGGTGCTGTGCCTGCCTCTGGCTATTAGGTACCTCCAGGCTCTCCTGTCTCCCCTCACATACAGGCGCATGTTCCCTGCTTGCCGAGTATCAGTCAGCGGCCTGGACCCTGAGGCCCGATACCTATTCCTTCTGGATGTGGTGCCAGTGGACGGAGCTCGCTACCGTTGGCAGGGCCGGCGCTGGGAGCCCAGTGGCAAGGCAGAACCCCGCTTGCCTGACCGTGTCTACATTCACCCCGACTCTCCTGCTACTGGTGCCCACTGGATGCGGCAGCCTGTGTCTTTTCATCGTGTCAAGCTCACCAACAGCACGCTGGACCCCCATGGCCACGTGAGGCCCAGGCTGGGACGCCAGGCTGGGGGTTGGGGGTGGAGCCCAGAGCAAGGGGTCACTCTGTTTCTTCCCTCCCAGCTGATTTTGCACTCCATGCACAAGTATCAGCCCCGTGTACACCTAGTGCGGGCCGCCCAGCTCTGCAGCCAACATTGGGGGGGCGTTGCCTCCTTCCGCTTCCCTGAGACCATGTTCATCTCTGTGACAGCCTACCAAAACCCACGGGTGAGTGACCCTGCTTGAGGGAGGTAGGTGGTGGTACCCTGCCTAGGCTGCAAGAGCTTTGACTTTGGATGTGTGCCCCCAGATCACACAACTGAAGATTGCAGCCAACCCTTTTGCCAAGGGTTTCCGGGAGAATGGCAGAAACTGTAAGAGGTGGGCACCGTTTATTCATTCACTCATTCATGTGACAAATCCTTATTTACCACCTATGTGCCAGGCACAGTTCTAGGCACTGGAAAGGCATCAAAAAGCCCTGTCCTCATGAAACTAGAATTCTGGTGGGCAGAGTAGACGAGAACTAATGTATGTTAGAGAGAAGTTCTAAAGATGAAAGAAATAAAGCAAGGAAGACAGGAAACACTGGAGTGAGGTATTTATTAGATCAGAGGCCTGGAAAAGGCCTCACTGAGGGGACATTTGAGACATGCCGTGGAGTGGAACCAGCATATGCAAGGGCCCTGAGGTGGGAACATACCTGTGGTGTGGCTAGAGTAGAATGAGAAGTGATGGGGAAACAACTTATGTTGAACAGTAAAGGTTTATCCAGGAGTTTGGCCTTTTATTCTGAGTACAGTCCCCTGAGCTGGCCCTTGCCCTCAAGGCAGAAGAGGCAGACATTAATCAAAAGCCTACTCTAACAAATATAATCGTACAATTGTTGACATTATCGGGGAGGACATGTGGTGCTGTGGGAGGACTTCCTGGAGGAAGTTATTGCCTGAACTGAGACAGGAGTTAGGCAGGTGAACAGGGAACAGAAGGCTAAAAGGCAGCTAGTGAAGGTGGCCAGAGTAAGCAAGATGGGAATAGTCTAGTAGCTTGGGAAGAAGTTTCCACTGATTCTAAATGCAATAGGAAACTATTAGAAAGTTCTATGTGGGAAATAAGGCTCCGCTTTGCTACCTTCTAGTCCTTTAACACTCTGGCCTTCAGTTCCTTCATCTGAAAAATGGGTATAATAATGACACCTACCTGGTGGAGTCCCTAGCAGGGTGAATGTCTGGCACCTGGTAAGGCTATTATCATCACTATCACCATATTTCCCAGGGAGCGAGATGCCCGTGTTAAGAGGAAACTGCGGGGTCCAGAGCCAGTAGCCACAGAGGCCTATGGGAGTGGAGGTGAGTGTATTACCAGTAGTGATGGGGCCAGGCCTGAGATGCTGATCCTCTTTAGCCCAACCTGTTTCTTCTGCCTCCCCAGATGCACCAGGTGGTCCCTGCGATTCCACACTAGGTGGGGATGTTCGTGAGTCAGATCCAGAGCAGGCCCCAGCGCCCAGGGAAGCTGTCCCCACCCCAGCTCCTCCATGTGGTGGCTCCAGTGCTGAGGCCTACCTTCTGCACCCTGCAGCTTTCCATGGGGCCCCCAGTCACCTCCCAACCAGGTGAGTGGGACAAGGGCACAGAGCTGAGCTGTTCCTATCTGGGGGTCCCTCTCCCCTGTTCTGATACCCTTTTCCATTTCAGGAACCCCAGCTTTCCTCAAGTTCCAGATTCTGGGCGCCCAGCCCCCTACTCAGCTGCATTCCTAGAGCTGCAGTCGGGGCCAGGAGGCTCAGGATATCCAGCAGCTGCACCCCCAGCACCCTTTGCCTCACATTTCCTCCAGGGGGGCCCCTTGCCCTTACCTTACCCTGGGCCTGGAGCCTACCTGGACATGGGATCCAAACCAATGTACTGAGCCAATGCTAGGCATTTCTGCCTCCCTCCCTCAGTCTTCCATCAAATTTCCAGTTCCCTTCCCCCAGGCCTGTAGCTCCATTTCCACTGGCCCCATCCCCCACACCAAATGGCTGCCTTGGGCCTCCTCCACCCCACTTCACACTTTGACTTCATTCCCACCCCCTCTGGCTTCAAAGCTCTGGCTAAGCTGATGGGAGTCCAGCTGGGGCCAGCTTCCCCTTCCAGGCTCTCACCTCAGTGTGAATAGAGGGAGGCTCTGCCTGGCCAAATGGGGCCTTGGACCAGCACTACCAACTCCTGGGCTTCACCCTTGAGCTCAGCTAGTCGTATCTCCTTGCGCCAGTGTGAGACACACCAGTCTGTTCTCAGAACCAGAGTATTTTTGTTAATAAAACTCAAAAGACATCGGTGCCTTGCAAACACTG